AACATGTCCAGTAAAAAAAAATTTAAAAATCAAATTTAGTCATAAATTTCTGCCAAAATGCATTCTGCGACATGTCTTTGCTAAAAAAAACCCCCATACGTGTAAATTAATTGGTTTACGTGAAAGTTATAGCGTTTACAAATGGCGGGAAAGATACTGGGATTTTTAGGTTTTTTTATACTAACAATGGCGGCGATCAGCGACCTATGGTGGCGATCAGCGACTTATGGAGGGACTGTGGGACTGCGGCGGACATTCTGACATTGGGGGGTACTGACTTGGGGTCACTGACATCCCCAATGACACCAATACAGTGATCAGTGCAAAAAAAAAAACACTGACACTGTACTAATGGCACTGGGGAGGAAGGGGTTAAGTTTATTTTTCAGGGAAAGGGTTAACTGTGTGAGGGGAGTGTTTTACTAGGGGGCGGGGGTGTGTACTGCAGGGAACACCGCTGATCGGGAGAGAGAAACTCTTCTGTCCCAATCACTGTGTCCTGGAGCTGTCAGGAAACTGACAGAAAGCACAGCTACTGCAGCTGTGCTCTCTGTCACTGATTGCCGCCAATAGCCGGGACATAGCCGATAACGACTGGCTGTGACCCGGCGACTGACATCCGCGGCTGTGATCGGCGGGACAGGTAGGGCGGCGGCGCGCCTCGCACGCGCCCCCTACCTGTTTACAAAATGCACGTTTTAAAACGTGCTTTTGTCCAGCCATGCTGCCCTGCTGCCGTATTTATACAGTGGCTGGGCGGCATGTGGTTAATCAAAAGCAGTTGAAGTCAATGGGGAAGATTAAATTAAGGGATTGAACCACTTCAGATCCTTACCTTTACAACTCTTCCAGACCAGAGAATTGTTTACATTTCTACTATGGGCCCATTTAAAATAACAAAGTAATACATTTATTGTTTTCAGGGGCCAAACTTGTATTTCTTCTTGGTGATATTGGCCTCCATTCATGAAGTGGTATCAACTGCTTTAAGATCCACGTTAAAATACGTCTTAGTGTTTTTCAACATTTTTTCCGCAACAAACTAAAAAATGCTTGTAAAATAAGGTATGTATTATTTAATTGAAATTTGCAATATTTATCTTATGAAACCAATTGGTATTTTACCATATCCACTGGGATAGATACAGCAGAGAGAGATTAGAACACTTGTCACCCTTTATTGCTGTCTGTTCCCCTGTTAGAAAGATTCACTCTCTCTATTTCTACTGTTTCTCCTTATCATTGAAAGTGAAAGGGAAAGAAAATCCCACATTTTGGATTGACATTGGAACACTAACATAGGGGAAATCTTCCAAAAGGGAAACACTTTGCACAAAAAAAAAATGATGGGGGTTGTAACCCTCCCTTACTCTATCCAAAATTATGGCAACATTTTTTTTTTTTATTATACTTTAAAGTCATTTATGCTGTGATATTTGACAAATGCATTGCTATATCTTTGGACATATCGGTTCTGTCTTGCTAGAGAATAACCCTTGGAGGAGATTTACTAAAACTGGAGAACAGAAAATCTACTGCAGCTGTTCATATTAACCAATTAGCTTCTAAATGCTCGGTGAGGGCCCAAACTCATAGTATTATCTGTCACTCCTAGGAAACCACTCCCAGGGAGGCACATCACCAGGAGCTCTTTATGCCTCCCAACCCCTGGTCAGATAAACTCAGCCCTATTCGTAGCAGAAAGGTATTAGTACTTAGGCCATATTTACTCCCATTGTACCCATCTCATTGGATCAGGAATTGACAACCAGCCCCCCCACCCAGCAAGATACACCAGTGTTATTTTCCCAAAAACTGATAAAAACAGATACTATACTTGAATTTAGGCAAAAGGCAAAGAAGCAATAGGTAAGGCTTCTGTAGCCTCCCTAGCGGTCCGATTATGTCAGTATTTCTGTGCTCAAAGCGGTACATTTTTTTGGAAATATGTTGTTTTTTCTATTGTAGGCCTGTAATTTTTTAGGAATAACTCACTGAAATCTGTCCGAACAAGAGTCTAGTAAACATCCCGGGTATGTTAAAATTTGACACACGAAATCATAAATTATAATTTAATAAAAAATCATAAAAAATAATAATATAACAATAATAAATGTAATTCAATAATATAATCAAACCGAAAACACTGAAATTTGAAATATAGCGCCAAGTTCGCACATCACTGAGCAAAGTCGCAAAATCGTTTTCAGTGTTTGATGACGAATTTCCCCACAAATCATTATCACTCAATTCTGCAAGTGGTTCTGATTTACTATCTCTGTTATCTAGCTGGTCTAAAACCACTTTTGACCTAAAGGGATGCTTTTTGGACACCATGGACATTTCTCAGTTTCCAGGCAGAAAGAACAGTAAAAATGCAGGCAGGACACAGGACAAAGCACTAGGGACAAAATGTATGTGAAATAGTTTGATACAGTTATGTTTTACTATGTGCTTTTAGTGTAGTGAATGTCACTTTTTGACATTTTTAAATTTCCTGCCAGTTCCGTCCCCATACATCCTGACTTCGCAGGGAACGGAACCCGGAAGACAGAAGCCGGCATCGGCTGGAGGACATTGCCGGGGACGCTGCAGGGGGGACATTGTGGGAGCGCACGACAAGGTAAGTGAAGAAGAGGTCCTGGAGCAACGCTGCAGGGTATTCCCGAGTGTAGCTCAGGGTTACCGCTTGTGGTGCTGAAACTTTACCCCGAGCTACACTTGGGAATACATCCAGGGAGGTTAACTTACACCATATGCATATTAACTTCATGCCAACCGTAGATAGCCGAATGACGGCTACACTGAGGCCGGCTAGTCCTGGGAGGGCTGTCATGATCGCAAGATTGCTGCCACCAACATGTGACGATCCCGCGATCACGACGTCCAATATGTGACGAACGCGGAGTCAGACCCCAGCCCATTTCACCAAACTCGTGACCGAAGGACTAGCCAATCTAAAACCGCGATGTCACGTGCATAACAATGCCACACCCAGCTGCACCCTGCACAATGATTTTCCAGCTAATGGACCACAGATCGATGTACCGGCAGCCTGAGCGATTGTTACTGGGTCAGGTTAATTATGCAATTAACCCTTCACACTGCCACCACCACCTTTTTTTCAGAGAAAGAGGAAACTCGGCGATCTCAGCTGGTCCTTGACTCGGCTCTGAAGTCAAGGACCAATCTCCACTTAGGGTGCGGAGATATGGGTGGATGCCTCGACTAGGGCAAAAATCTCCCTTAACTCATATTTTGGCCTATAACTTTCCATCTGCACAAATGACATTCCACCCGCGGGTAGATTATTATGCAGACAAGTCTGATGATTGATTAGATATGAATTATGAAAGTGTACACTGAATGGTTCACGAGATCTATTTTTCTGCTTTCCTGTGTGTCCAAGACAAAGCGAGTGACCCATCAAACTGTTCGCCTGCTCATCGTCCATCTGATGATATGTCCGGTTTGTATGTAAGTCTCTCATATTCCAAGATATGAGACATAGGGGAGAAATGGATTTTGAGCAGTGTTATCTGATTCTGTCACCTACGCTGAGTTGGGTTTATGAGGTCGGAATCTCTTTCAACTATTGGGAAAGCTTGCCTTATCTCTTCCAAGGTGTGAAATGGCACAGGTTCTAGGACAGCTAGGCCCCGGCTCCCTGGGGGGCCCTTATAGCTCCTATGACCCTCCTGTGACATTTTTTAACACACACATACACTGTCACTGTGCCTCTCAGAGTGAGGGGGGAGGGAGAATGAGGGGAGAAAATGGAGATTCTTAACAAAATGGCAGACTGCGTCAGTCTCTGGTGCGCACGTTTGCGACACCTCCCCCTCAGGTGGTTGCATGGGAGGGAACTACAATTTCCCTCCTGGCGCAACCGACCTCTGCCCAGAGGTTCACCTTGGTGGACCTGGTACCGCTGCACTGCGGGAGAACCAAGTTCTGTCTGAAAAGGAATCTTTTCTCCCTGGCAACACTGCTGTGCATACCAAGTGAGTGGTCATGGGTGGGCATGAGTCGGCTGTGGCTATCTGAATACCGTGGCGACTCCCGGGGTGCCCACCTGTTCACACAACTCTTCGGCTTGGGTGTCACCTGCTAACATACTAATATGTAGCTTCTTGTCGAGGTAGAGAAGGAGATTTCTCTCTCCTATCTTCTTCCTCAGGCCTAAGACTACATCTGGCCTGAAGGTAGTGGCGCCTGTGTGCACCAGAACTGGACAGGCGAATTCTGGAACTCGCCTCCCAGATGTGTCCACAGGTACCTTCATCCAAGATGAACAGTCCTCATTACCTGCTAGCATCCAGGACACCAGTTCCTCCAGTTTCCTGTCTGCTAGGTCAGTCACAGGTCCAGCTGAGCCATGATAGTTGCACCCAGGCATCTTACCGTAGCCAGCTGCACCCACAACTGACGTAACCTGCTTTTTGGCCTGGGGAGCAGACCAGGCCACAACTGCCTCAGTCTCCTTATTCCCAGATCTCTGGGGGTCTCTTCCTACCGGTGGTTCCCAAAACTGAACCACTGACATGCCCCTCTGACAGTTACCCTTCTCGACTGTCAGACCAGGCGTGGGCAGGTTGTTCCTGACTAGTACACCTGTTTGTCTGCCTGTTGACACACCATGACAGGTCAGATCAAATGACATGCTTTCAGGCTTCCAGCCCCCTGTGGATAGGCCATTCTTCCTGTCAGGCCTGTATTTTATCTTCCCAACAGGGAAGTTCACAGCTAGCCAGAGGCTGAAATCCCCATCTGAATGGCTTTCCAGGGCTGCCTTACCCTTGGAACTACAAGTCCCAGCTGGCTGTTGTTTACCCTTCTTAGCAGGGCAACGTATAGCTAGCTGACCGCTGAAGTCCTTTGGGAATCGCTTTTCAGTGCTTTCTTATGCGTAGAACTACAAGTCTCAGCCGGCTGCCCAGTACCATGCAAGGCCAATGGCTGGGCATTTATCCAGGCACTATCTTTTGGGCCTGGGCAATGAACAGGCCTATCCAGACCATCCTTTTACTCAGCCCCCAGATATTGTACCTTTGCCCCCTTTGCAGCACTGTGGGTGACCCCCAACACTGAAAATGCATCATTTGTTTCATCATGAATACCATAATCATCATTAGCATTACCAACATTCTCATCAACATTACTGATATTATCAATGACAGTGTCCTTGTCATCACTATCATTATCATTATCAACAGTTACGTTTATAATACCAATGACACATGAGTTCGATACCTCCCCATGCGGTGCATCAGTGTGCCCTGATGATCAGTGTAGCCCCAGCAGTGCCACCTGTCAGTGTCTATCAGTGCCAGCTCTCAGTGCTCATCCATGCTACCTGCCAGTGCCCATCAATGCCACATATCAGTGCCCATCTGAGCTGCCTCCTATCAGTGCCAGTCAGGGCCACCTATCAGTGCCATATATCGGTGCTGCCTTTCAGTGCCTATCAGTGCCGCCTATCCGTGCCACCTCATTAGTGCTGCCTATCAGTGCCGCCTATCCCTGCCACCTCATTAGTGCTGCCTATCAGTGCCGCCTATCAGTGCCCTTCAGTGCTGCCTATCAGTGCACATCAGTGCTACCTATCAGTGCCCATCAGTGCTGCCTCATCAATGCACATCAGTGAAGGAGAAAATTTACCTGTTTGAAAAGTTTTATAATAGAAACACAGACATTTTTTTTTCTAATTTGTTGCAATTGTTTTGTTTAAAGCGCAAAAAGTAAAGTGCCCAGCGGCGATTAAATACCACCAAAATAAAGCTCTATTTGTGAGAAAAAAATGATAAAAATTTCATATGAGTACAATCTTGCATGACCGCGCAATTGTCAATCAAAGTGCGACAGCGCTGAAAGCTGAAAATTGGCCTGGTAAAGAAGGGGGTATAAGTGCCCAGTAGGCAAGTGGTTAAAGGTTATGCCATTGATCTACATATGAATTATGTATTTTTTCAGCTACTTCTATTATAATAATCCTTGGCAGTCATGTTATTTTGAATAGTCAACATGACACATTTATTGAAAACAAGTAAAATAAATACCCTACAATAAATGGGAAGCATCATTTTAATTTCTTTTTTTTTATGTTTTATTCATGTTTTAACCATCTCCCGCCCACCATATAAGGTAATGACGGGTGCAAGGCGGTTCTCTCGTTCTGGGAGGACGTCATATGACGTCCTCCCACTCTAACCGCGCATGTGCGGCTCCAGGAGTGTGCAGGCGGGGATTGGTGGTGCTCTGTGTCCCTCGGACACAGCGGATCACCGATCAACGGAAAGAGCCGAAGACATCGGCTCGATCATGTGATCAGCTGTGTCCAATCACAGCTGATCACATGTAAATAGGGAAATGCTGGTTATCGGTCACGCTGACAGCACGAGACAAGAGGAGAGCCGGTAATCGGCATCCCTCAGAGGGGACATGTACACTGATCATCACTGCACTGATGATCAGTGTGCCCTGATGATCAGTGTAGCCCCAGCAGTGCCACCTGTCAGTGTCCATCAATGCCAGCTGTCAGTGCTCATCAGTGCCACCTGCAAGTGCCCATCAGAGCCATAATGATGCCACATGTCAGTGCCTACCAGTGCACATCAATGCCACATATCAATGCCCATCTGAGCTGCCTTTCAGTGTCACCAATCAGTGCCAGTCAGTGCCACCTATCAATGCCAGTCAGTGCCACCTATCAGTGCTGACAATCAGTGCCACCTCTCAGTTTCAGTCAGTGCCACCTATCAGTGCCAGTCAGTGCTGCCTAACAGTGCGCATCAGTGCCACCTATCAGTGCCTGTCAGTGCTGCCTAACAGTGCCAGTCAGTGCCACCTATCAGTGCCAGTCAGTGCTGCCTATCAGTGCCACCTATCAGAGCCATATATGAGTGCTGTCTTTCAGTGCCCATCAGTGATGCCTGTCAATGCCCATCAGTGCCACCTACTAGTACCTCCTCATCAGTGCCCATCAGTGCCACCTATCAGTGCTTTTCAGTGCAGCATATCAGTGCCCATCACTGCAGCCTCATTAGCGCACATCAGTGAAGGAGAAAAATCACTTACTTACAACATTTTATAACAAAAACTAAGAACAACTTTTTTTTTTAATTTTCAGTTGTTTTTGGTTTGTTTAGCAAAAAATAAAAAACCCAGAGGTGATTAAATACCACCAAAAGAAAGCTCTATCTGTCTCAAAAAATAATAAAAATTTCATATGTGGACAGTGTTGCATGACCGTGCAATTGTCATTCAAAGTGCAACAGCACTGAAAGCTGAAAACTGGCCTGGGCAGGAAGGGGGTATAGGTGCCCCGTAGACTAGTGGTTAATGTGTTTTTATTTATAATTGAAGTTTTTAAGAAAATATCAAAAAATTTGGTCAAAATAGAAACTTCTGCACTTTTAAAACTGGGTGCAGACTTGTCTTACTGCTTCTTTAACCTCATGGCGCCAGCCAAATGCAAATGCGCTGCCTCCCAGCATCTGGGGCTAGACGCCGAGCAGCTGCACATTTACGTTCTATTAAAAAAAACATATACTGTATGCTGAGAACGCGCACCCTGTGCACTCCAAGCACACATGTCCGGTACTCAAGGAAAGGTCCCGATCTCCTCTTTCGATCCGGACCTTTCTCGATCATGTGCCAACCGTGATGACGTGTCACGGCGGTCACATGACCCTAAACCCTGCACCGCCTCCTGGCTTCTGAAACCCTTAAAGGGCTGGGAGGTGCAGGCGCCAAGGGGTTAAACTTTTAAAATAGCTATATAATAATTTGGTCTCCAAATTGCAGTCCAGAGGTTGAAGGTGGCCCTTTGCTTGTCTTTATCTGGCCCTTAAGGTGCTATTCCTACAACTGACACCAATAATGTGGCACCATTCCTCCCACTAAAGCCAGTGATGGGGAATTGTTTTCTCCCACTGATGTCAGGACACTTTCTATTCCCACTGTATTCCCACTATATATATATTTTTTTTAATTTGTACTGCTTCTATAGTTCAGTGATAGTTTTGTTTAACAACAACTGCTAATCACTGATACAACCTAAAATAAAATGATAACATAGTGACTCTTTCAGCATGTCCTCATTTTACCTTCCATATAATTCATCAGTGGTCAAGTATTTATATTAAAGGCAATTCATAAGATATTCCACTGATAAACCACTAAGTCAGTATTGTACACAGGCCATTAACTAAACATAGAAGGTAAGTGAGAACTAAAGGAATGAGTGCATCATGTGCATATTTTACAATGGATTGGATCAATGACTGGTGTTTGTTGACAACAACGTTTTTCAGGTGTAAAAAGGTCAGAGAGAAGCAAGAAACCGTTCTTGACTTGACAAGTGATGGAGGGGACAATACCAGGTGCAAATATTGCACAGGGACTTCCTAGATTTACAGTAGCTATATGAGCTCAGTGCATGGAATGATGAGGGTTTTTTTAAAGCTTACTTTTATCACTAGAAACATTACATCACCTTTGTTTTTTTTATTTAATGTTTGCTTTGCAGTGCCACAAGGTGGAATTATAGAATAAGTTTCTTAAAAGTTATCTAAGGTGAAACTAGTTTAGATTAAATGTTATGCTCATCTTCACTCAAAATGTATTATTTTTAGCCTATTCTCATGTACTAGGGCTGTCAAATATCTGTATGTGAAGCCTGAGATGATGAGGGGGACCCCTTACACAGTTCCCATCTGAGTACCCCTGGAAGATGAGACAGTAACAGAGACAGGCAGAAAGCATTGACAGAAGCATAATTCAATGGCAGGTCAGGCAGCAGGGTTAATAACAAGATCAGTATGAGTATCAGGATCAAGAACACATGAGCAGAGACTGAAAGGCCATTCGGCAATGATCCAGTGCATAGCTTGGATTTAAATAGCCCACTTGACATCAATGGATGTTCCCACCAGCCTGTGTGTATCCTGTAATGTGCAAACATGAGCATTTGTCTGACAGCTAGCATGATGTTCCTGACCAGGACAGAGAAACTGTGTAGTATAATCATTCATTCATATTCTCTTCCAGGCCAATACAGTGTTACTTTGGCTGTATGGTTTCTATCCTCCTTTTTTTTAGTTTTGCTAACTTTTCTGATGCATAATGTCTTCTTGGTTCTTTATATTGTTCCATTTTATACTGATGCTGTGCATTTCATAGTATCCTGGTCAATATTTTACTGGCAAAAAATTAGCTATCATTGCACTACACAAGCATTAACTGCTTGTGAACACAATGTAATTTGATTTTTTAAAATTCAAAAGCCTGTGGAAAAAAAAGTTGTCAATCGATTCTGTGCTCTTGTCAGCGGAACTTACTTGTATATTAATGTTCTGCTAACAATTCATGTAAGTCCTTGATTCCTCTGCCTGCATTGCAGTGTAGTATAGAAATGGAAAAAAAAGCTCTCCTTAAGTATAATGCATATATTTCCTTTGAGTTTCTCCATTCTGCTGTAAAGACTTTGTTGATTATGTTTTGGGTAAAAATATATTTAGGTGGGTACATTAAATAAATGTTATATTGGTAAACATTACAGGAAAATGCATTTTGTTACTAATAATTCCCCCCCCTCCTCAAAAAAAAAAAAAAAAGAAAAGAAAAATATACTGTATGCATCAAAATTCTCAGCCTTCAAACAAAATTACAGCCTTATCGGTCCTGACAAAAAACATATGTTTATCTGCTTATTATCTGCAGTGTGGACTGCAGAACCTAAAAGATTTATGTGAGATTTCATAAAAGCTGTCATCCCTTTAGAATTCTGTTGGGGCACAGAACTGAAAAAGTTGCTGCTTGCATCCAGTTCAGAGACAGGTGCATTAATTTGTCCATGTCTGCACTGAAGTTGGAATGTCCACACTGGACTATGCTTCCTCAGTGCACTCACTCATGCCCTCCCTCGTTGGTCACTGCACCCATCACACTAACAAGCACCTGGAGTTTTGTAATAGATGGGGAACTGAGAGACTAGTCCCTTTTAGGTCTGTTTTACTTTTGAATGACAGAACACAACAAATCCATAGTGACTTCTCTGTCTATAACAGCTTTAGAATCTACCCAATACTGTTCACTGCCAATCAAAAGTAAAGCGGACCTGATGGGAATCTAGGTTTTTTGGTTCTCCATCAGGTTTCACCCACCCACTGAAAAGACATGTCCCAAATATGAGCACATCACCTTTGTTGACATTTAGCTTTCAGCCAGGGACATTTTCTCACAACTAAATGAGGTTGGGGATATTATGCTGTGCAGGAAGCTGATACATACATGACAGATTCATAGCACAGGCATGTCCACTTTGAGTAATAGCTTTGGGGCTCAAGGCAATGTAGGGAAACAAAGTGCATTGGACACCAACATTTTTGTTGAATGGGCATGCACTAGGAACCTACTGTGGTCTACACTATCTGAGGAGTATAAAGCTGTAAATAAAAGTCTGGCACTAGGTCCTGTTGCAGGAAGTCCATTCTATACATATTTTAATACTGCTGGTATTCATGGTCACTATTAGTAAAACCACTTGGAGCCTTGGAAAAATAGATGACATAATCTAGTTCACTAATCCAGAAGTGTTCGGAGTCCATCCAATAAGTTTCTTTGCCAATGGGTATAGGCAAATTCAAAGACCAGCTTAAATATTTTAGAAACCACAATGTTCTTTATTATATAAAACCACATAAACCCAGAAGTCTATATAATTCCTAAATGTCAGCAGACCATTACATATGATGTCTCACCAATGCTGGATTGTATATAAGAACCAACAGTTAAAAAAGTAGTAGATGTCAACAGAGCATTTCCAAACCAATGTGCTTACATAGCCCCAAGTTAACTGTTGTGTGCTGGCGATAGTGGCTAAAGTCTAGCAGGCCAAAATGGTGGTAAAACTGTGGGCAGAACATAAGATCATTACCTTGATCCTGGGCAGATGGGATGCGGGGCTCCCTCAGTGGCTAAAACATTAGTTTCAGGGCTGCATGAACCAGAAGTGATGCACCGGAAGTGACAATGCAGTTTGCTCGTATCACACTTTTTCAAGTTCTTCATTCGGATGAATCATTCAGATGAAACATGTCAGGAACTATTGTCAGCTGGAACCTGAAGTGCCTGTGATGCCATCTTGGTTACTGGTATGATATACAGCCTGCCGATGTGAGCATTGTTAATATAATAAATGTGATTTTAGTGGGATTTTCGCCACTATTACTCTTCTTTCTCATTCTATGTCCTGACTGCAATTTACTTATGGGGATTTGAGGATCTGTATGCCAGTGAAGCAAGTAGATGCAGATCGGTTTGGTGCAAGCAAAATCACCCAACCATGTGTCAGAGGGATTGCTGAGGGTAAGGTGTTTTGTCATATGGGTGACTGAGCACTGTGAAGGGTCACATGTTTGGCACTTTTATGTGCACAAGAAAATGTGCATTTTTGAACAACAAGATCAACAAGATCACATTCTTGTCCTGCTATGATATGTGCAGTAGATAAAGCAAACTTTTATAATCCTCTGCAAAGAAATGCCTACATATATCCCATTTAGGACTTTTAGAGATGCATGCTATAATATCAAACAATGAGGAAACAATTTAAAATTTACTTCATTAAATGTATTTTTTCATTTAGTTTATTTTCTTGAATTGAGAACAAATCAAACCTTTTTTTTTCCAAAAATGTTTTTATCTAAATATGTTGTCAGCTACAGAATAACAACAGCAGGAACAGATATCACAATCATTGATGAGAAGGACAATTTCAAGTACCAAAGTCCATGCAGTTCACAAACTGAAGACATAGTGATAACAAACATGATAAACATTTCAATATCCAATGTTGTGCATCTGAAGTTCAATAAAAATATTTACAGCAATCCAGAAGATACTATCTTGAGACTGTTTTTCATTTTTTTGCTATTCCCATTCCCCCCCCCCCAAGTAAGTAGGGGGGCAGAATAGAGGATGGACCAAGACCAAGACTAGAATAGATAAATGAGAAAAGAAAAGAAAAAAGGGGGGGATGTTCTCCTCTCTCCTATGCGGGGACACTGTTGCCTCTCCATTCTCTTTAGCGGCACCTGCTGCATCATGTAAGAAATGTGGGAACACAACCTGCTTCTCCCTCTCATTTACATGTGCCATTACCTTTCCTTCTCAAGACAGGTATAGGGCCTATGTTTGAGTGTTATCTCATTCCTATTCTCTATATCGTTCAGTGGTTTTGAACTGCTCCCAGCAAGATCAAATCACCATGAATATATGCACACGTTCATAGGAAATATGTATTAGTTCCTCCATTTCCTCTATTTTGTTAAGTCTAGCAAACAAATCACTGATTGTAGGAGTGTGTGTTGATTGCCAGTCTACTGGTGTACATAGGAATGCTGCATTCACCATAAGCACAGCAAAAGATTTAAAGTATTCACATTTGGGAAGAGATGCATAGTGGAGGAGGTATTGTGTAGGGGTAAAATCCAAAGGGTAGGAAGTAGCATGGGATATGATATCATGAAAGGTCTTCCAATACAGCTGTAGGAGCTCACAACTCCACCATATGTGAAGCATAGTACCTTCTTCAAGTCTGCATCTCCAGCAAAGATTGGAATAATTGGGGTAACATTTATGTAAGAGTGCCGGTGTTCTGTACCAATGTGTTCTAATTTTCCTGAATTGAAACATTAAGAGATACTTTACGAGCATGATCATTAATGGAGGCCCAAGTCATCATCTGAAAGAGAAATTTGCATTTCTTTTTCCCAGGATGTTCGAGCTTTGTCATTAGGCTCAGTAGCATCTTCTATGAGCAGTGTGTAAATAAGTGAAATTAAATAATGTTGGGATGTCTGCCGCATGCAGAGAGATTTAAAAGGTGTACGTGGTCTGGACAAGTGTTGAGGTCGATGACTTAAAAAAATGTTTGCGTTGACTATATGTCCAAAGAGAAAAAGAACCAGTGGAGGAAATTGACTCCAGATGGGCATGAGGCAAGAATTGTCCTTTAGACAAAAAGTGATGGGCCAACACTTCACCATAGGGGTATTCCCTTAGCAAGAAATTAGGAAAGGCCAGGCGGAAAGTCTTGATTGCCTCGCACTGTAGTTAGTGGGCCCGGGACAGTGGAAAAAGAAAAGGATTTACATACCATCCTGAAAGACAATAAGAAGACACCAATAAATGGGTGCTCCATAGCTTGTTTCGGAAGATGGCGAGGTGAAAGCAAAGGTAAGAGGTTAGATGTTTTCCATTGCTATCCACACCTTCCTCTGGGAGTGGATATTCCAGTCCACTATGCGAACCAGGTGGCACGCCAAATAATATTTATGTAAATCTGGCAACTCTATACCTCCTTTCAGTTTTGGAAGAGTAAGGTGGGTAAATTTGATTTGTGGGGTGGAGGCTTTCCATAGAAATATAGAGCAAGCACATACTGTATATACATGGAAAAGAATTAATTGGGCAGCTTGATTAAAATTGTTTGTATTAAATACAAAAATTTAGGGTGCATATTTATTTTATTAAGTGCAGAACGGCTGAACCAAGATAGATTAAGTCCCATTCAATTTTTTTTAGATCATCTTGAACTTTGTGAAGGAGCAGGCAGAAATTCATATCAAAAAGGTCAGTAAAAAGGGATGATATCTGGATGCCTAGTATGTGATAGCATCTATTTTCCAAGTGAATGGGAAATTTTCTTTACAGTTAAACTCATTGGCTGTTGAAAGAAAAAATGTTTAATGGATATGACTTTGAGTAGTTAATTGTTAGATTAGAGAGTTGGTTAAGTCCGTTAGTAAATTAGGCAGAGATATGTAAGGTGAGGAAAGAAACAGTAGCATGTCATCTGCAAATGTGGCCATCTTTAATTCTTTTTTGCCTAGGATAATGCCTTTGATATCCAGGTTTGCTCTCTCTCTGTTAAGAAAGGCTAGAGTGTTAAGATATAGATCAAGGGGGATAGTGGGCAACCCTGGTGGGTACCATTGCCTATAGTGAAGGTGTTTGACAGGTGGCCGTGAAGTGCAAGTATACTTGCAGTCAAATGGGAGCGGAAACCTAGCGTTTCAATACTTCCCCTATGTAGTCCCAGGCTACTCTGTTGAATGCCTTTTCTGCATCTAAGGAGAGGAAAAATCCTTGTACATTACCTGAGGAAAGACAGTTATGTAGGTTAGGGCTTTAATAGTGTTGTCACAAGCCTCCCTTCTGGGTACAAAGCCCACCTGATCTAGATTGATTAAGGAGGGGAGCAGAGAGAGGATTATGTTGCCTAACATTTTTGTATAAAACTTAAAATCTATATTAAGCAAGGAGATTGGCCAATAGTTTTCCACTAAGGTTACATCCTTTCCTTCTTTAGGAAGAACAGTTATGTGTGCTTCCAAGAGCCTTTTTGGTGCAAAAGATAAATCAAGCAAAAACCTTTTTTTATTTTTGCCTGTGGTTGGCTGCGAGGTAGACATATTACCTTTAATATATAGCATTCTAGTGTAGTGTTCATGAAAAGAAAGTGATCTATTTTATGGGGTTTTTGATACCACAGCAGATTATGTTTCCTATTTTAGCCAGCAATTTTTCAATTTACTCTACAACCTACAACCCAGGGGCGGACTCACCATTTGGAAACTGGGGCACTGCCCGAGGGCCCAAGGTCAGTAGGGGGCGCCATGAGATTCCCCTGGTACCTTTTTCATAGGCTTTTTTTAGTTTGGGCAAGGACACAGGGGCCCCATGATCCCTTATTGCCCGGGGGCCCCATGAGTTGTCAGTCAGTTCTAGTAGATTTTCATTTGATGATTTTTCCTAAAGCTTAATTCTGGGGGAATAATTTAAAACTTGCAGTGGGACAGCCCCTGCACTGCAAGAGTTAGATGCTCATCTTTGTCCAGGGTACCTTCAAAAGAGCAGTTTTACTTATCTTGCACATTTCTCTTTAGTCAGCTAGTGCTTTGCTCCTCTCCTCAATGCTCTGGGTTGGGGGTGGACCCTTGGTATCCTCTCTTACAATGAAGAACTGCTGATTCACAGGAGGAGCCTTGGGAAACAAGAGGAGATAAGTAAATATGATTTCTTAAAGTCTATTAAACAAAAACAGCATTTAACTATTTCAGTGTGTGTGTGTGTGTATAGTTACATATCTGGCAGGGCAAATTTTAAATGAGCTCTATTCTGACAGGTATACATATATACATAATAGGAACAGCCTGCTTGAAAGCTACTTGCCCACCAGTATATTTTTGACTTGTAGAAGGAAATGGACAATCCCCTAAAATGCTGATAGAACAGAAAACCACCTTGCATGGTATTTTTGGTGGAGCATGAGCCAAGAATCCATCTGGAAAACAAGAATGGTACTTAAAGTGCAGTTTTTATATTTAAAGCAAACATTTTTTTAAATTTTGGCTGGAGTATGGGAAGTCCTGTAAATACAACAGAGAGTGAGAGAAATACTCTTTTAAAAAAGTTGTACCTGAAATACATGACCTCCCTAGTAGGTTTCATTTCTACTGATATTTTATTAAAAACGTAAAATGTGTGATTTTCACATGGTTTCAGTCATAGAGCAAATACTATTTTTCACTGTAAATCCATCAATTGTTGTTTTTTATCCTTTTTTCATACTATCACCTTTAAAAGACTACATCACACTGTTACATACTAGTGTAGTTCCATTACACCATATGTGGTCAATGTTGTCATTCAGGAACCCCCTGCAGTGCAAGGATCTGAAATGTCATCTTATTCCACTTCATGTGGTACCTGTGAAATAATTAGAGAATTTTAAAACTGATATTTAAATGAAATTAACAAAAAAAAAAAAAAAAAAAATACGCAAGTATATGTTGTCATTGAAAGATAGACTTACCCGGACACATTGAAGTAAAAATATATGTTCTAAATGTCAATTAGTTTGACTTTTAAATGTATTATTTGACTAAAATGTGTTAGATTGTAAACACATAATTGAATCTGAAATTGATGATGAGAATTGTACTGAAGCAAGACAGAAAAAGAGTTTAGAATGAAGTCATTACTCGCCCACGCAACCTATCTAGGTCTTCCAATAATAAGTCTATAATAAGTCTTGCAGGATTTAACAATGACAGTAATACTTCCTTCCTTGTATTATTTGCATAGCCAAGAAACATGTAACGTTGAATAACAGGAATTTGTGATATTCTTAGAATGTAAAATGTTCAACCATATTTTGGAAAACTGCTCTATGGGCTAAGCTTCGTTTCTTTTTCATTCTGTTCAGGTTTCTGAAAGGCACTTTGAACTGAATGCTGTTCAGTCAATGTGCTCCACATGATTAAAGGGGTAAGCACAGTCATTAACAAAGCTGACTAATGGACTACAGTGTTTAAAACTCCCAAATGCCACAGTGATAAAATGAAGGTATTTACTTATTAATTTTCTTACATAGATCTTAGTTTTGTAACAAGATCAAAGCCATTTTTCCCTGTCTGCAGTGGCTGAATTGGACTTAGGGAAAGGGAACCTTGTATCTTTTTTTACTAGTTTGTTACCAGGACAGGAGGTGTGGAAATTAAGTTATTTATAAACTGGTTTAAATGTTTTAAAAATCCCCAGATTTTAACTGCTAAAACATTAAATTCAACATTGAATATGATATACAATAGTAGCTGTATATTATATTGGTAAAAATATGGCCAGTCATTGTTAATTCACAATAATCACCTGCATCAACAACCTGCCGTAGATTTCCTTGTCAGAAAAATCTATTTCCCTGTGCTTCTTACTGTCAAGAAGCAGAGTGAATACACTTTGTTTAGGGATACTGCTGTAAATGAATGGAAGAATAACTGAATTAATTCAAATATACAGTAAATGACAAATTATTTTTGACTAAAAGGGTTTAAAGTTATAAATGTTAAATGGCTTACAGTTAGGTGCAGTGGGTCCTGGGTTCCTCCTGGTGCACGATAATGCCCAGCCTCATGTGGGAAGAGTATGCAGGCGGTTCCTGGAGGATGAAGGAATTGATACCATTGAATGACCCCCACTCTCTCCTGACCTAAATCCAATAGAACACCTCTGGGACATCATGTTTCGATCCATCCAATGCTGCCAGGTTGCAATTCAGACTGTCCAGGAGCTCAGTGATGCCCTGGTCCAGATCTGGGAGGAAATACCCCAGGACACCATCCGTCGTCTCATTAGGAGCATGCCCCAATATTTGTAGGCATTCATACAAGCACGTGGGGGCCATACAAACTACTTAGTACCATTTTGAGTTGCTGCAATGATATTTCAGTAAAATGGACTAGCCTGCTGCATCAGTTTTTCACTTTGATTTTCGGGGTGTCTTTGAATTCAGTCCTCTCTAGGTTGATCATTTTCATTTCCATCAAACGATGGTGCATCCTTATGTTCCAACACATTACCCAGTCCATATCAGTATAGATATTCAGCATGATATTTTTCCCCATTGAGATATGATGTGTTTTCAAAGTGTTGCTTTAATTTTTTTAAGCAGTGTATGTATAATCAGGGCTTTTTTTTCAGCGGGAACGTGGGGAAATACAGTTCTGGAACCTTTTGCACTGAATGTATGTAATGGCAAGAGGTACTGTGGTGTACTGGAGATTCTATTGATGCTGGCTACTAGGGGATCTATTGTTGAAGGGGTGGTATATTGTTGCTGGGCAATCTTATGTTCCTGGGAGGTATCTATTGTTGAAAGAGCAGTCTATTTTTGCTAGCTGCTGTATGTCTTTTGATGCTGGATGCTGGGAGATCTATTGTTGACGGCAGGGGTCTATTGTTGCTGAGGTGGATTTATTGTTACTGAGTGGGGTCTATTGTTGCACAGGGATCCATTGTGGCTGGGGGAATATATTGTTGCTGGGGAGGGGAGTCTGTTGTTGCTGCCTGCAGGGGACCTACTGTATTTTCCTATTATAATTAACAAATTCCATAAAAATTACTTAGCACCACATCATACTTGGTTCTGTATTCTCTAAAAGGGGCTGTAGTGGGAGGTGGGTAGAGGGTGTAACCAAGGGATGGTGCTCAGAGCTGAGTAGGGGTAAAGACAAGGATTGACTCGGAATGGGGGAGTTCCTGCATCTATTCTCTGAGAAAAAAAGCCCTTTATATAATAATGTTAAGCCAGTTTTGTAATCCAAGCATTCTTGCCAGACACCACATGCAGGTCCTCATCCTTCACAGCAGCAATAGCCTGATCAAAGACAAAACCTAGCTTGCAAAAATGCAGACAGCAAATACACAGCACACCACTGACTAGTCAGTACTCTCACTGCTCTCTCTCTTTTCTTGTTTTGTTTGGATTAAAGTGCTGGCAGGAAGCCAATATAAAAAAAAAAAGTCTAGTAAATTGCCATGGCAGTTCTGACATGTTAATATTGTTAATAAACAAAGCCAGGTGATCAAAGCCATGAAATTTGGGGCCCATTCACACCAGCAACTGTACGTTTTAATGCATTTTTACATGTGCATTTATTATTATTATTATTATTATTATTATACAGGATTTATATAGCGCCAACGGTTTGCTCAGTGCTTTACATTATAGTTGGAGACAATATAGTAACAATACAGTTCAATACAAGAGGGAATTGAGGGCCCTGCTCCTTGGAGCTTACAATCTAGGAGGGAGGGGTGAGTGGTACAATAGGTAAAACTGTGGGGGATGGAGTGGTTGGAAGCATAGAGGATTCCAGTATTAGCAGAGGGTGGGATAGGCTTCCCTGAAGAGATAGATTTTCAATGATTTATATGCACTTGACATGCATTTACTGTACATGTATTTGCAGAGCACTTTTTCTAAGAATTTTTGGTATGGAGAAGGACAGGTGATCAAAAATGCCAAACCAGTTTTTCTTCCCAGAATTGCATTTATGTTTGATGCATTTAAACACATTTACATGCATTTATGCAGGTTTACATTGTTAAAAAAAATTTAACTTGCTGTACTTTTTTCACTGCACTGTACTGCAAAGCACTGCAATGATGTGAGTTATGCCCTTTAGATAAAATAGATTTTGGAATGTCTGCTGCATGTAGCAGTAATGCATTCAAAAACATACCATCTGATGTGAATAGTCCCAAAAACGATTTAAATGAAAAACACATTCATCAGCATTGCATTCACACAGCTTTGTTTATCAACAAGGCCAGTGGATCTCCATGTCAGTGCTGTCATAACAATTTATGAACAAAGCCACTCGATATCAATGCTGCAATGACATTCAAAATGATACATTGCTATTTTTTCTGTACATTTAAATTTTGTTAAATTATTTGCTCACTCTTGGTGAATAGCAGGCTAGAATGGTGTTTTGGGAACTAGTACCCCATTTTATTTGTGCCTACTTGTGCAAACATGGCAATTACTTTAAATGGAAAGTATTTGTATTTGTATGCTACCTAACATTTTGGATACTATAAGCAGAAATTATTGCTTACAACTGATAGCTATGTACTATAATTTGGAATTTTTACAAGCACTTTGCAAAATGCTGGCATTGTACTCCTCCTTAGGTCTAGATCCTCCATGTCAAGATAAAAGTTTATCATGGAAATCTAAAGATACTGGTGATACTTTTACTCTATTTCATTATCAGATAGTTCTGAAAGAAAAAACAAGCATGATCTAGACTGCCTGAGCCTATCAGAGAGCAATGTTAGCCTATATCTTAAACTTATGTCTTAATGTCATCTCAAGGCTTCTCCAAAGCATAGTGCTCCTCTCTTACCATGATATGTAGGATATAATGCTCATTATATTATATAGTCTCTCAAAGCCTGCCATGGCACCACCATCACTTTCATTGATACCATCACATTTGATACCGGACCCGTGGCCACTGAATGATATCAAGGGTCTAA